GCTCGCGCACGTTAGCCGCCATGCGCCGCGCCTTGGACCGCACCGGCCGGGCGCGCTTTCTGCTCATCGCCTCCTCTGCCTCGCCCAGGCCACGCGGGGCGCCGTTCTCCCTCAGCACCCCGAAGCCCCTCCCGGCCCCCAGGCGAGGGTCCCCCAAGTCCTCCGCAGAGCCCTCGGCTCCCTTCAAGCCCGTGAGGCCTAGTCCTGGAGCGCCTCGGAGCATGGCCTTCTCCAGGGCCCTGCTACTCGGGCTCCGGCTCCCGAGGCGGATGGTCCACCTTCTGAACGTCGGTTCCTGCAGGCTGGACACTCCCTGGACCGGCCCTCTCTAGCTGGGCTTTATGACACCACGTGGCTCCCCGCCCTCCCCATCCATCCATCTCCCGCCTCCACTTTATTACCTGCCCCCAGGTAGGTTGGCGAGGGAGGAACGGGGAGGAAGGAAACAAGGGAGGAAGGAAGCCTGCAGATGCTTGCACGTGGGGACCAGACGGCAGCCCGGCCGGGCCAGCAGTGCTGCAGCCTCCGCAGGGAACTCGCTCAGCCTTGCCACAAGGCCTCTCTGGGCGGCCGCACTCTGCATTCTTCACACCCCAGTAAAGCGCCATATCTGGTTAGGCTCACAGAGGGCTGGCCGTGGGGGTCTGCCGTGTTTTAAGAGACCTACAAGTTCTTGTCAAGTCCTGAGGGCAACCATGGAGGAAAAAGCATGGCGTCCCACCGGGACCATTAAGGGAGGGACAGATCTGACACAGCAGGGCCCTGCAGGTAAGATCCACTGGGAGAATCAGGCTTTTTCAGTCACAGAGGCTGGCTGGGACTCTGGGTTTGGGTGTTGACTGGAACAGACTCCCCCTACCTCCCTTTGGCTCCCCCTTCTGCAGGCCTGAGTCTGCAGCAGAGGCTGGTGGAGATTGCTCTGTAGCCCTTCGGCCTCCATCAGGGGCATCGTTTGGGGTCCTGGGCTTTTGGGCCAGCCTATTTCATGGTGTGCCTGTTAGGAACTCAGTAAACACCACCCCCACACACACACCCCTAAGATTTGCATTTTAAACAGGATATTAGGAGGGGGCAGTAGGTGGTGTAGTAGTTACCACGCTGGAGTCCCACATGGCCAAGCGGTTCAAGTCTCAGACCTGTGTCTTGAAAATCATGCCAGGCACATGTGCATGCATGCCCAAAACCTTAGGAGGAGAATGGAGGAGAAGGGAGTGCCGTGTGGCCATTCCCCTCCGAGGATGATTTCTCACTTTCCCTCCCACTATCTCTTTCTCTCCAGTGATGGCAAAAACCTAAAAACAAAACAAAATTAAAAAAAAAAAAAAAAAAACAGGGTTTGGGGGGGGAAATAATACTTACTCCTAGAGAAAGCCCCCGTCCCAGCCCCAGTAGAATTCAGACATCTACAGGTGAGTTAGCACCTCGAGGCCAGGAGGCAAGGTCTTCTGAGGCATCGGCCTGGGCGGGTGTCCAGGTCATACCCATCGTGCTGAAGAGCATTGCCAGTGACCCCATGGTTTCTTTCTATTCGTAAATGCTTTTCTTCATTCGTTATAGAAGATGTGTGCACACCCATGAGAGAGAGGACAGGAGAGAAAGACAGGCAGGCTCCACAGGGCCTAGACACACTGCGATCACCTTCCTCCAGGCCTCTAACCCACTGGATCTTGGGTGCACGCATGCGGGTCCAGCGTGTTTCCGGCCCACTATGCCCGGGATTCACACCCCAGTCACCACGTGGGATTGGGCTTCTCTGGAGCAGCACGTTACCACTGCGCATGGAGCTGCCCCCTCCATTATCACTTACCTCTGCGCCACGGAGCTGAATCCCATTATTTCAAGCCAACTTTCTCCATACGTGAACAGAACCAGGAGGCAGCATGTGGGCCGTTCAGTCCCAGAAGGGCCAACTGGGAGAGGCGATGTGGTGGGCAGACCTCGTCCTCCCATCCCTTCAGTCAGTGGCTCCTTCCAGTATATGCCCTCGTGCTGGCCGCGTCCCCCTCGCTGCACCTCACTTTGTTTTATTTACATGGAAGACACACCTACGAAACAGTGTAGGCAGGACCAGCTACATAATTTACTGGGCCCAGTGCAAAATGAAATGCGGGGCCCCTTGTTCTGAAGTCTTAAGAATTTGAAGAAGGGAACCAGCAGTTGGCGTAATGGCTATGTCGCTGGACTCCCACGTAGTCGACTGCGGTTCGCATCCCGGACCCGGTGGCTTAGAACTCACACCAGGCACGTGTGCGTGCGTGCCCAGGAGAATGGAGGAGAAGGGATTGCAGCGTGACCATACCCCCTGGGGGGTGATTTCTCGCTTTCTGTCTCTATGTCTCTCTCTGTCTGTCTGGCGAGCGCATGCGCCCTATAGCAAAAAAAACCTCTCCAAAAAAAAAAAAAGAATTTGAAGAAGATGGGCCAACAGGTGGCATGCTGGCTAAGGTGCTGGATCCCATGTGGCCATGTCTGGGTTTGAGTTCCAGACTTGATAGGTTGAAAAACCACACCAGATGCATGTGCATGTGTGCCCCAAATCCCAAGAGGAGAATGAAAGAGATTGTAGTGGGATGGCCATCCCCCCTCGGGGGGAGCACACACACCCTATGAGAAAAATCTAAAAAAATGAATTTGAAGAAGGTAATTGCATAGCATCAAAGCAAACCAGGGTGCTTCTAAGCATGCAGGCTATGCTGCTGCACAGGTCTGGGCCCATGACGTGGGCCCTGAATATAGCCAATGACGTCAAGCCTGGGATTTGAACTCACTTGGGCACCTGAGTTGGCCATTTTCAAAGACCTTGGGAAGAGCCCTGAACCTCGCTTCTGTCTGCAAACCGCGAGTGAAACCAGCCTTAGAGAACTCAGTGAAATGGAACTGGTAAAGAGAGGCCACCAGAAATACTACTTCCAGGGGCCAGCAGGTGGTGTGGTGGTGAAGGCGTTGGACTCCCACATGGCCTACCATGGTTTGAGTCCTCGACCTAGTGGCTTGAAAATCATGCCGGGCATGTGTGTGTGCACGTGTGTCCAAAATCCCAGCCGGAGAATGGAGAAGGGGCTGTGACATGACCGTCCCCCTGGAGGATGATTTCTTGCTTTCTGTCTCTCTGGTGAGCACACATGTCCTATGACAAAAATCTTAAAAAGAAAGAAAGAAAGATACTGCTTCTCGATATCTGGAGGGGGACTAAACCCTATAGCCTGAATGCCTGAGTGAGCCATTAACAGACTTCCCTCTGCTATGATTTTCCCAGAGAAACTGTGACCTATGGTCAGGAGGGAGATGGGCCAGCCCAGATCACAGCCCCCACCTCCATGGAAGGATGGAGGTGACTCATCTAAGGAAGCCTTCCTGCCCCATTGAGCGCTGGGATCCAGAGGGGAGGGTCTGCCTGGGGCCCTGCAGGAGCCAGGGACAGGTGCAGTGGGTGATGAATGAGCTCAAATTGCTTCCAGAGCCTTTCCCTCCTCCAGTGATTCAGCACTCCTAGGACCCACAGTCCACGATAGACAGGATGCTGCTTAGTAATAATTAATAATAATAACGATAATCATCTTAATAGTATTGGTACTGGCTTCTGCTGAGTGCTTCTCCTAGGCAAACGTTGTACTAAGTGCTTTTAAATATGCATTAGCTTAGTCTCACAGCAATCCTATACGGAAGGCCCAGGATCATAATACCCATTCTACAGACTGGGCACTGAGACCCAGAGAGAGTTAAGTAACTTGCCCCAAGTCAGAGGGCCGAGCTGTGGAGGAGCCAGGACTCCAGATCAGGGCCGTGGCTTCTATCTGAAGACCAAGCCCTTTACTCCTCCGGACTGTCCTGTGCTCTCGGCTCAGGAACCATTTCCCCTAGCACCCAAGGTCCTCACTGACCACCTGTAACTATGAGAGGCCTGGCGTCTCTGCTCCGATTTAAAAGCCATTAGGATACTGAAATATCGATCGCTTCAACCGGGTGTGAGGAAAGGGCTTGGTTGATCTGCAGGACACTTGGAAGGCTGGGGGTGGGGAAGGGTCCCTCATATGGAGAGAAGTGAGGAGAGAGTAAGAACTAGACCCTGGGGGGTGGCTGGAGCAGCCCAGCCCGTCTGCCTGCTGGGACTGAGGTTCGCTGCCCAGGGTTTCCTTGACTAATTCTAACTCTGACTGGCCCTGGCTGAACTGGTGGCTGCTGAGATCCCGGGGAGAGCACCAGAGCGCAGAAGTGACAGGCCAGTGCCCATCTGCTGACCCCTACCACAGGGGAGCAAGGCCCGTGAGCCAGGAGCAGCCTGAGGACGTTCAGGATCAACCTTCACCTCCTTGGGAAGGCTCTAGGCCTCTGCCAGTCAGCACTCTGGGTTGAGTTCTGGTGGCCTGCAGTGGGTCACCAAAGGCCCCTTGCCAACCTTTCCCTCTGTGAAACCTGCCCCGAGTCCTTCCCCATAAGGTTCCCTGTCTATGCTTATTTTTCTTTTCTTTTTTTCCCCCAAACTTATATAATTTTTTTGAGAGGTTTTTGCTACAGTGCGAGTGTGCTCGCCAAAAAGAGAGATAGGAAGCGAGAAATCACCCCCCAAGGGGTATGGCCACACCACAATCCCTTCTCCTCCATTCTCCTCTCGGGATCTTGGGCATGCACGCACACGCGCCCGGCGTGAGTTTAAGCCACCGGGACTCGAACCGCGGTCAACTACATGGGAGTCCAGCAACATAGCCATTACACTAACTGCTGGTCCCCCAAAACTTATATAATTTTTTTTGAGAGAGAAGAGCACCTCCAATGGAATCTGCATGTTAACTCCCAGCCCCAGCCCCCCTGGATCATGGGCATATGCACAGTGTGTAATAGAGAGGTTTTGTGATTGAACTATGGACCTTCCCATGTGAGTCCAGTTGTGTTACCACTGTGCTGCCATCTGGCCCCCCTCTGTCCTTTTAAACTCCATCTTAGAATCTAACAGATCATACTGTACTTTTTATTTTTTAGAATTATCTATTCAATGTTATTTATTCATTTATCTTCATTTGACCAGAGAGAGAAAAAGAGAGAAGAAAGTGGAAAAGCAAGCCACCAGGTCTGGAACTCCAACCGTGGTCAGCCATGCGGGAATGTCCAGTGCCTTAACCACCATGCCACCTGCTGGTCCCCATACTGTACTTTTATATTCATGCTAGGTCACTTCTGGATTCTCAGGGCCTGGCGCAGTGCCTGGTACAATGTAAGTACGAGGAA